CCTCTCTGTCTCTGTCTCTCTCTCTCTCTCTCTCTCTCTCTCTCTCTGTCTGATTGCTTTAATGGTATATTGGGGGTGCTACTGTAAAACTCCTACAAGATCTGAGGTCCAAGAGGGGGAAGGAAGGAATTATTGCCCTATTAATCATAATGTATATAAAGGTTTTGTTGCCAGCTGTGAGTATTGTTCTCTGGCTGCATCTACAAGTGTCACTGTTATAAAAGCTGTGGAGGGGGGGCTTCCTTACAATTACTAGAGTCGTAGATACGTGCTTGATTATGTTGCAGTGGTCCTGCAGAATCAAATGGTAGAGTGGTGGAAACGGGACTGATATGTCTTTCTTTGCAATGGTGGAAGGGGAAATTCTCACATATGCAAAGTGAAGAGTCATCAGGATTGTTGTTCTCCTTCCATAGATCATCCAAAGACAACTGGAGCAGGTTGAAGAGAAACAAAGGCAGCTGGAGGAGAGGGGAGTTGCTGTGGAAAAAGCCCTCCGGGGTGAAGCAGGTACTTTCCAGCATTCAATATTGTGTCTGTCCTTTTTAAAAAAATGTACTCAAATTTTCTTGCAAAAATATGTAACAACTTTTATGCTGTCTCTAGAAACAGGTCACCTCCTAAGCTGCAAATAGTTTGATTCATCAGTACTTTTAATGTATGAATTAAAATTCACCAGTTCCATTATTTGCAAAGCTGTGTTCATGGCAAGATAACACTGTAGAAGTGCATTTGGGCCCAAACCTCCGTTTTTCAGTTCTTAATGTTTTCCAGAAAGTTGTGATGCATTTACAATTTGTTAAGGAAATAAACCTTGCCACAGCAAGAAAGACTCGGCTATTTTCAGCAATGCAGAAGGAAAACAATGAAATATGACATGGTTTTAATTCATCGTGTTGTGAGTTAACGCCAGTGCCCTTGCAAGGGACCATCACAGAACAGCCCCAACCAATGCCACATGCTCTTACTGATCCTTCACCAACCCAGTCTTCTTACCAAGACACATGGAACATGCATTCATACAATGCGTGAAATGATTTTCTGCATCTTCTGCTGTTCATAGAATGAGTTTGCACCTTGGTGACTCGCTTTAGTGAAGGGTTCCTGGAGATAACATAGATGGAGATTAGGAAAAAATAAGAGTTCACGCCAAACACAGGACTCCTACTTGAAATCTGATGTTCCTTTTTTAAAATATCACTTGCAAACTTCCCTCATCTGGTACCTCCTCAGAAGTGATGGTACTGAGGCATATCAGTATGCAAGAGAGTTGCAGTTTGAACATATCTGGAGAGCCTTGGATTGAGAAAATGAAAGCTTCTTGAGCAATATTATGTCTTCACACCATCCTTAGCAGATATCATCCCAGTGTGATGACATTACATCACGCAGTGGGTTTCATTAGACTTTGAGGTGGGGAAAAATTATAAATGAGGATGTTGTTGACAGAAGCTCACTCACAAGAGAGAACATGAATGGTGCTTCCCCTCCTCTCAGAATTAGGCAAAAACAATCTTTTTGTTCTCCAAAGAGGAAACCATTGCTTTGGGGGAGGAAATAAAAACTTAGAAAACCATTTTTTCCCACTTGAAATTTCTTGCAGGAATACGGTAGAGTTAATATTTCCCTGTCAAAACAGGCAAGTTGCTATTATCTAGTCAGCATACCAAAAACAGATATTATAAGCTGAATAAAGCATACAATCAAGATCTGGTTGAAACCCCATTACAACGAGTTACTGTATCGAGGGTCCGCTCTTGCTGCAGGATGAATATCATCTATTGCTTTCATGATCAAAAATCAAACCTGCAATCTGGAGAGACTAATAGATTAATATTAATATATTAATTATATTAGTATTTTATAGAAATGAATATATTCGGTAGAATTCACATTCTAGAGATACAGCATTTTTCTATCCGGCAACTGGCTCTCGTTTAAATTGGTTCTGGAAAGGACAGAGCCTGACTGAAAAGATTTTTGTGTGAAGTAGTCATGCATCTATTTGCTAAAGGCACTGAGGCCAAAGAAAGCAAATCTCAGGAGTCCATTTGCAACCTGCACAATTATTTTATTTTATTTATTTGGCACACAGATGCCCCTCATTTCACCCACTTTTTACAAGATGGGAACAACAGTGGAAGAGTTGTCGTGACATTCTTCTATTTAAAGCTTACTTATTTATCTTTGTTTATTTATATATGATTTTAGGATATCCATCATCTAGGCAGGTGGTATACAGTGTTGCTAAGAATCTAATAGTTATTTTAAAACATACAAGACATACACGCTTGGTAAAGTCTTACATTAAAATTAAATGATCAGTTTGTGACAAAGGATAAACGTTTTCTAAAACAGGCAGTTAACTATCATAGGCCGTTAGGAAGAGATGTGGGTTTAAAACTTTTTTACAGGCAACAGGGGCATCAGTTCCTGGATTATATTGGGAAGTGAGCTCCACAGACATGGGACAGGAGTGGAGAAAGATACCCCAAGGCCTGTCTACTACTGGAGGCGAACCTCTCCAGATGATAGACAGCATCATAGGAGGCTTTTCTCTTGCATCATATTGTAATCCCTTCATCAGTTCTAGAGCCAATATCACCCCTGCTTTTCTAAGGCATGAAGAAGATAGATTTGAAGGCATTCCATCAGTCTGTAGCTAATGCATGCCTTTGCTAGTCCACTTTCCTGGATCAGCAACAGGGTGTGATCCATTAATCCATCTTTGTCCTTTCACATGTAGATTTCCCTGATACACCAGCCAATGCAGGTTAACTTTTTGACTTGTTTCTTTTCTTTTCCTTTTGGTTGGGCTGTCTATAAATAGGATAGCCAGACTGAGCAATTTTGTAAATGAGAGAGCATTACCTCCCACATATTACATGCAGAGATGGTGTGTTAGTAGGCAGAAGATCGTCACAGTTGCACTATATATTCAAGATGTCGTGGGAGATAAGGAAAATAGTGGGTGAGGAAAAGACCCAGAGACTGCCTTCCCAAGGCTTCACATTTGGGCCAGCTTATGAGTACTAATAATTGTCTTTTGAACTCAGGGCTAAGAATTTAAAATAGTTTCACACTAATATTGGAAAAATAACATTTTTGCAGGGAAATCTAGACCTGGAACAGACCCTTCTGCTGTCAAATAGATTTCCAGATGTTCATGTGACTTAAATCTCAGTAGTTACTTATCATCATCTCTTTCCCACATATATCTTCCTATCTGTTTTTTTACTGCAGCCTGTCAGATTGATGCATTTAGCAGTAATCCAAAATGAGTTTTCCTGGCCTCTGAGGACAACTAGACAGGCCTTGCCAAAATACTATCATGGTGTGAAGTTAAGGGGAAATGGATTAAAAAGCAGGACTTCTCTGTGATATTCCCACATATGTGAACACTCTGCCCTCCAAAAGTACACCTAGTCCCATCTCTTCTGGCATTTAAGAAGATGCTAAGATTCCTTTCTTTTTATATAGGCTTTTGGTGCCTATACTGTACTGGTGGGTCATCATGGACTTTTATTGTACTTGCTTGTAGTGTCTTCTTGACACTGTTTTTATTGTTGTACACTGCACAGAATGCAGGGTATAAAGTTTTTGAAATAAATTACTGAAGAGCTACATTCTCCTTTAATAACTAATTGTCAACGTGGCCAGAGTTCACACTCTTCTGGCGTTGCGTGATGGGAACAGAAACGTCACAAAACAGCCATCCTTTGTTGGCTGATGACTGTATGTTAAAATAACATCCTTGTGAATTGGGCTGTTTCACTCTGGATGTACAACCAGTATTTCTTTTTAGTATGTATTTGATAAAGAACCAAAATGGTTTAGTGGCTAAGGTGTTGGACTAGGACTGTGGAATCCCAGGCGTAGAAACTCATGGCTGACTTTGAACCAGTCCCATTCTCTCAAGCCAACGTATCTCACAGAATTGTTGTTGTGGCGATATAATGAAAGGAAAACCCAGGGTAAGCCGTCTTGAGCTCCTGGAAAAAAGGTGTATATAAAATTTGAATGAATATATAACAAGGAGCATGTCTACATCTATCCTATCATCTGTGCTCATGGTGAAATAAACATCATGTATTTACCATTTTGTGCAGTACACATAGTCTACATGCTAGTATTGTACTTGTGTAGGGAATGGCCTTCTGCCTAAAGCACAAATTTGAAAATCTGAATACTGTTTTTCCTGTGGGTTGTGGAGTTCTCTGCATTGGGCAAAAATTCTGTTATGAATCGAGAAGTATAGTTTGTACAGTTTAGAAATAGCCTGAGATATCTTGGCACTGGAGGCAAAAAATGAAACTTCTAATGCTTCCTGATGACAAAACCAACAATAATAAGCTAATAAGTATTTTAGTGCCTTTTAATGGCTCATAAACATTGGGAGTTGCCACCAACTTCTCTCTGTGTGCTGTCTAAAAAAGCCACCAGTGAAAGTTTTGGTACATTGGATCTGTTATTGGTAATTTCTTGCTAGAAATTGAAGCTAAAATAATATTCCGCATCTTGTTCCTCTTTTTATGATCAAAAGAGGGGGATGATCTTAATAAATAAAAAGTATTAACAGTTACTTTGCAAATGCTTTTAAAAACAACATTTTGGGTCTAAAGGATGTTCTATTGGAAGAATTTTCCATTGGATCTTCATAGAACATGATTTTGGGGAGGAACATTCCTTTCCTACAGAAGATAACATGGCAGGTCCTTAATGTCATTGAGTTTTGAGATTTATTTATTTATTTTTCTGTTATACCATTGCTCAGTTCCAACAGTATCAGCCCACACTTTCTAGTTTTGTGAACATGTCAAGAGAGCTACATATAGTGGACTAAATAAATTATTTTTTTTAACTCACAAGCAAACCCTTAGATTCTATTGAGTCCTATGTGTGAATGTTCCTCTGGAGAATGAGAAAATGCTAGAAATAGTTACAAGAGGAAAGCCTAACACTTCTTTAGCTTTCTTTAGACAAAGCAGGCCATGTAGCTGAGCAACTAAAGAGTGAAGTGAGAAAGCCATCCTTACAACAATGAACAATGCCTAGTCCAGCGGCATCCATGGGGGGAGGTTGTGTCAACAAGTCAAGATGGTGGCCACAGCAGCATGATCAAAGCCCTGCCCCTATGTACATAAGTATAGTGTTAACACATGTACACAAGGGATGGAGTTTTGCCCATGCTGCTATGATCACCATCTTGACTTTTTTGATCTCTCCCCTATGGACCTTGTTGTCCCTTTCTGTTTTGTTGAATGGAGAATACATATAATGTACATTGAATTTCTTCCTACTGGAACATGTTTGTGGAACCCTTCCTTAATGTCCCCCATGCCATGTCAGCAACAGTGGAGTGCACATGCTGAAATAAAGAGAATTTACAAAACCTAGCTATTTCCCTTTCTTTGCTTGGAAGTCCATCCCTGCCTGTCTTGCCTGCCTGTTTTTTAGGGAATGTTACTCCCTTTCCTTGTCTTTTTAGTATATATCATATATATATATATATATGTATGTGCATATGATTATTATAAAGTTGCATGATTTATTGTTGTTTCTGTCTGTCTCTCTCTTTCTCTGTGTCTTCTTATGTTTGCAATTTCTCTAATAGAATGCTTTGAAATCTGGGCAGGGAGTGGGGAGGGCAGGCAGGGGTGGGGACTTGAACCAATAACTCTCTCTCTTCACCAATTCCTTGTTATAGACTATTGGGGAGAGTCTTATTACAGTGACCTCATCGACTTGCATCTGGGTGGTATGTATGGCAGAACCTCTTTTCTGGCACTAACCTTGCTGACACCCTCTCCTGCTCCAGTTCCCCTGCACTGACTTCTCTCCACCCCAGCTCACAAGCAATGAGATGGAACCACCCAATGGATTGGCTAGGGCACAACCCCTTTTCCAGCTCAAAGGAAAGACTTCAGTATCTAGAGCAGTCCTTTAATTAGCAAGTTTTTGTTTTCTAGCCCAGATTGTCTGGAAGGCACCAGATTGGGGAATCAAATTATACCTGCCAGGTGTATTTTTTATAGCATGTGGAGTTTGTCTTGTCCAGACATACATTGTTTCTTCTTTCTATTATTATTTTCTACTCTTTCAAAATGTAAGCCACCTAAAAGTCATTTTGGAGTCAGGCAGCCTTTAAATCTAATAAATAAATAAATGAGCAAACAAGCTAGCTTGTTGCAGTAATAAAGGAGGGATTAAGATTAAGAGCAAGCCACTTGTGAGCCTCTAGAGCAGCGTTTCTCAGCCTCAAACTACTTTAAGATGCGTGGACTTCACCTCCCAGGATTCCCCAGCCAGCAGTTACTGTGCTTTTATTTCCTCCTTCAGGAGCCTTGGCCATCATTGTCAAGAGAACGGATGTTGTAAGATGCAGTTCAGCAACATCTGATGGTCACAGATTGCCTACTCTTGCATCACATATAGGAACAACATGAAGGAGAGATCTCAAAAATGCAGAGAAGACATGAAAATGCACAGCCTGTTTTGAATATGGCACTGGTTCAACTTTTTTTAAAGTGAAATCAAACCTGGCTTTCAGATTAACCCAAGCTGTCCTTCCCTGAAGAAGAATCTCAGTACTCAGAATGAGCTGGCAGGAAATTGTCCTTTGTTCATAATGGCAGCCTCTTTCCTTTTGTCCTAGGATTAATCATGTGTTTGATTCCTATAATGAATTTCTGGACTGTCACTTCTAGGATTTGTGGTTTTCTCTCTTCAGCCAGCCAGCATTGGGAGGTCCATTCTTGGATATTTGCATAGCCCTAAGCATTGGAGACATTGATTAATTTAGTCTAGGCAAGTTTATTTAGTAATAAATTAATTAGAAAGCAACTCTGTTCTTCTTACACCTTAATAACCTGACAGACCATTTAGAAGGCTCAAATCTCTAATGCAACAATATTGCATTGATAATTTTCCTTCTTTCCTTATGCAGCAGCCACTGAATTGGAAAGGGGCCATTACAGTGTTGCTATACTGCACATTTTACATTTCTGAGAAGTGCAGGATGGAAGAGAAGAAAATCAGGAATCAGTGATGACTGTTAGATGTAATCGTGTGAATGCAGTTTAAGATGCTATATCAAAAATAGGGCTCCTAATGTCATAGGCCATCACTTCTATTCTCAAATGTTTTAATTCAGCCTTGAAATAATAAGGCCCATGCCATTGTTCCAGAGATTTGTGCTTAAGAGGATTTTGTTGTGTTGCCAGAGTTGTCAAAGTTCAAACCTGCCAAGAATGCCCATAAAGTAAGAGTAAAGTAAGAAAGTCATTTGGACATCCCTCAAATGTCTTGCATCGTTATAAGGGATTTTCATCATCACATTGAGCTGGGACTTTAAAATATAGCTTTCAAGCATTGTTTTTCCTATCAAGATGTCCCTGAATATTACAGATCATTTCAGGTCACACTTGGGTAAGTGTACTTTTGAGTTCCAGGAGAAGACTCTAGCAATGGCAGATCACTTATTTCTCTAGATCAGCATTTTCAACCTTAGCAACTTTAAGATGTGTGGACTTCAACTCCCAGAATCACCTGGGGAATTGTGGAAACACTGTTCTAGATGACTGCATTATTCTTGAGCTGGTGACTTTAGAAATGCAGTTGATATTTTTTGTTACCAGCTACAGTGAATTCCACTCAGTGTCATGAAGATGCATCAGACTCCTATTTCATATATTCTTTCATTAAGATACTTACAGCTTTAAAAGGAGCAGCAATCCTTATTCCAAGGCTAGTATCTTTTTTCCATCCACTGGCCACACTTCAAAAAAAAGTATGGAGTTCATTTATGCTTCATTGTACTGGGAAAGAAATGAAAAAGTATTATTTCAGGATTCAGGGGCTGCATAAAACATACATATTTGACCCACAGATGGCCTGCATCTGTCCCCCATATGACCATTCGCATATCCACCACCATGTGCACAAACACTACAATTTATAAGGACTCAGCGCTAGTCATAATCACGCCATTTATTTGTTCTTGTTCAATTTATATGGCTGCCCATTCACTAAGCAAATCTGGGTGGCTAACAACATTAAAAACAACCAAAGAGATACAAATAATAAAAATCCAGAAAACAGTTTAAAAAACACACACACACACACCTTTAGTGCCAAAGTCAAAATTCATCTAGCTTATCTTAACGCATACAGCTGATGTAGCATCCTGGCCCAATGTCCGAGGGAAAAGCCACATTTCCAGGGCCTTTCTAGAAAGACTTGGGTCTGTAGATGGAACTGTAAAAGGGTTCACGCTGCGTTACACCAAGCAGGCTCTCCTTCCTGGCTGATGCTGTTCCCACTTACTATTTTTCCTTTCTCCTCTTCCTCCTCCTCCTCTTCCTAATTCCTTCTGAAAAACGGTCTTCCTTCACTTTTGCTAACTGATGGCTTTAAAAAGTCCTTGAAATAATTTAAAGGAACACTGTCATTGTTCATATAACAATTACATTGCTTGAACTAAAAAAATCAAATTTGCTTTTCACAACTGGCGTCCTTTGGCTATTTGCATATCCTGTTTGGAAGACGTATGCAACACTAGTTCTTACTACTTCCTGCCTCTATTTGGAGTTATTTATATGGTGTTTCTCTCATTGAAATTATGCTAATAGAATGACACAATTTCCAGTTACCTCTTTTAAACCTTGGCATGTATACTTACTTTTCGGTTATTGCTGAGGATTCAAAATCAAACACCCAAAGAAAAAATGGATATCTCTTTAATCAAATGGCAGTATCCCTTTTAATCAGTGTGTCTCAATTTTGGCCACTTTAAGACGTGTGGACTGCTGGCTGAGGAATACTGGGAGTTGAAGTCCACACAGCTTAAAGTGGCCAAGGTTGAGAAACACTGCTTTAAATGCAATGCTGTGTTTAAATGCAGAAAAGAAAAGTTATGGCTTTCTAACTGTAGTTCATGTTGTGTGACTGATGTTGATGCAATTATTTTGTCACAGGGCTGCCAGAATGCTCACAAATAGAGTTGGAACTAGAACTGGGACAGGAATTTCCAATTAAAATATCCAGTTAAAAGAACTGCAATAAACTTAGCAGTCTTCATTAAGTCTAATAAAGGGAGTCTTCAGTTACTATTGTGAGGGTATCTGAGAGATGAGGGTTTCCCTCCAGTTTGGAGCAGCTCCAAACTGGTTATGTAATCTCAGAACTAGAGGTTTTGCTAGTGGGTGCTTTTAATGAAGGTTTACCAAGGTGCTGGGATAGGATTGTATAGATAGAAGTATGGAATGAGGGAAATTGGAGCTTGCTGCAGGGCATCCCAAAGGGAGAATTAAGGTGCAGGGATTTTGTTTCATTGTTTTACTGTTTTATGATTGTTTTATAGTTATTTGCTTTATTGTTATTGTGAGTCACCCAGAGTTGCTTAAGATGGGTGGCCATATAAATCTTATAAATAAATAAATAAGACTGTAGGAACTGAGGTTTTTGCAGTCGACTTGTAAGTTGAGTGGCTGGGAGTTGAGGGATTTCAGTCAAGCTCACAGCCGTAATGCAGCCTATATGGACACAGGGTTCGCGAAAGCCTCACCTTCTCAAACACTTCCAGATGTAATTAATGTGCAGCTAAACAGATTTTCTGAGTAGCAGGATAAGAGAAATCCACTTGGTGAGTCAACATTCTTTCCGGATTAAAAGGGGGGAAGGAGGGCTTCAAAGATTTAAAAACTTTTAGCAAAAAGCTTAACAAGGATTGGATGTAAGAAAGTTTAAAATGGATAAAGGGGACAGTAATTTTGAAATATTAATTTTTGGTGAAAGTGCTTTTGAACAAACTGGAATTAGACAAACAGACCGGACCTTCGTGGGAATGTTATCTGTTTAGTATTAAAGAGTGCAGACTATTGGTGGATATTACAAAACAAAAAATAAAGATAATATGAGCCAGACTGATGTTGACTGTAACTATGGAGTGCCATTTGAGACAAAAGTATTAAGGGCACAGGAAGACAAAACTGGCGGGGGAGGAAGCCTGCCTTTTACTCTTTCTCTTGTAATTGAAACAGTTTCACTTTTGGATTACAATATCATAATGGCAACCACCAGAAAAGCAGCAAAAACCGCAGAGGGGAGGAGAGAATCACTAGAGCAACCTGCAGAGAGAGGAATTACACCACATTTACTTCAGAAAATGTTTGAGGAATTAGGCAATAAGTTGTCTGAATCACTTGATACTAAATTGACAGCTTTTGAAAAAAGAATGGATGCAAATGAGATAGAAGAAGAAGTTAAGAATAGGGAAAGTTCTGTAAAACAAGTGTTTGGAGATGTTAACACTTAATGACAAAGTGAAAATTCTGGAGAGTACGACAAGTTATAAACAAAGAGCTGAAAAAAGACTTAGATAAACTGGCAGTACTAGAACTGAGAGAGAAGGAATTTTGACTGAGATTCAGAGCAACTCCAGAGAATTCTGGTGAAGACATTAGAGAAAAGTTTATTAAAGCTTTAAATTTTTTGGAATGGGATGAGGAGGATACAGAGGCAGATGAAGTATATAGAATAAATACAAGGTTTGTGAGAATAAGAAATGTTCCAAGGGATGTCTTAGTACACTTTGTCAGGAAGAAAACAAGAGATCAAGTTTTGCAGCAGCATTTTAATACAAGACTGAAGATTGATAATACAGATGCAATTGTGCTTATAGAAATTTCAATTAAAATATTGCATAAGAGAAAAGAGTACTTCTTTTTGACTAATGGGACAAATTGGAAGGTGTGATTT